GAGCAGGGAGCCCGATGTGGGACTCGATCCCAGGACCCTGGGATCATGACCTGAGCCGAAGGCAGATGCTTAACGACTGAGCCACCCAGGCACCCCGTGTCTTCAAAAACTTTTAAAAGTAGCTAGGGAAGTTAGGACGTGTACAAAAGTGAATTTTAAAATGTGGTAGACCTTACTAGAATAGCTATGCGTGAAAAGGATTGACAATAACAAAGGCTGGTGAAGATGTGCAGCAACTGAAACCGATATTTTATCAATTACATTTTTCTTAACAAATCACCCCAAAATTTGTGGTTTAAAGGAAAAACAATTCATGTAGCTCAAAATCTCACAATTCTGAAAACTAGCTCAGCAAAGTGGTCATTGGATTTGTGCCACGCTCACTCATGGGTCTGCAGTTAGCAGCTGGTCAGCTAGGGAGCTCTGCTCTGAGGGGACAGTTGGCTGTTGACTGGGTAACAGGTCTCAGATCATCCAGCAGCCCAGCTTGCTCTTATTCACACCGGGACTGGGCAGGGGTATGGGAGAGTGGACACATGGAAGGCTTTGGCTGGAACTTCTCTCTCTCTTTTTCAAGTAGGCTCCATGCCCAGTGTAGAGCCCAAAGCAGGGCTTGAACTCACGACCCTGAGATCAAGATCTGAGCTGAGATCAAGAGTCAGACGCTTAACCAACAGAGCCACCCAGACACTCCTGGCCTGGAACTTCTTATAACAACTTCTTAATAGTTGTAGTAGTCAAAGCCAAAACAAGTCACAAGGTCAGCCCACATGTGAAGGATGGAGAAATGTGCTTTTCACTTTGATGGGAGGACATACAAGGTCACAGTGTATGTAAGGAAAAGAACTGTAGCCATTCTTGCAATACGCCATACATATCTACTACTCTGTGGGAGTGTAAATTGGTACTGATGCTTTTGAGGACTATTTAGCTGTACCGAGTAAAGCTATTTATCAATTCTACTTCTAATATATACTCAGGAGAAATTAGTGCTTATATCCACCAAATACATGAAAAAAAATGTTCATAGCCCATTTATTCATAATAGCCAAGCCCAGAAAACAATGCAAATGTTCATCAATAGAAAAATGGAGAAATACATTATGGAATATTCATATGATGACATACCATATGGAAAATAAAAGAACAAAGACCGCTACATGCAGCAATATGGTGAGTAAAAGAATCAGACACAAGGGCGCCCGGGTGGCTCAGATGGTTAAGTGTCTGCCTTCGGCTCAGGTCATGATCCCAGGGTCCTGGGATCGAGTCATCGGGCTCCCTGCTCCTTGGGAGCCTGCTTCTCCCTCTGCTTCTCTCTCTCTCTCTCTCCCTCTCTCTCTCTCTCTCCCTCTGTCTCTCATGAATAAAATCTTTAAAAAAAAAAAAGAATCAGACACAAAAGGATACATATTGTGTTATATGATTAGATTTAGTTGCGGTTTGAAATTGGGAAAAACTGATCTGTGATGATAGAAGTCAGGACAGTGGTTTCCTTGATATGTGTGGGAGGGGGAGTGGGGGTAGTTATCAGTCAGGAAGGAGCATGAGAGAGCCTGCTGGGGCACTGGAATGTTCTATATCTTGATGTGAGTGATGGTTGCATGTGAGTATGTGTGGGGTGTGTATGTGATATTCATCAAGCTCTATCTGTAAAATTTAGGCATTTAATATATTGTAAGTTACACCTCCCTGTTAAAATAATTTTTTTTAAAGATTTTATTTTTTTAAGTAATCTCTACACCCAACGTGGGGCTTGAACTCATGACCCCGAGATCAAAGGCCTCACGCTCCTCTGATTGAGCCAGCCAGATGCCCCTAAAATAATTTTTTATTTTATTTTATTTTTTAAAGATTTTATTTATTCATTTTGAGAGAGCGAGAATGAGAGAGAGCGAGAGAGAAAGCACACGAGAAGGGGGAGGGTCAGAGGGAGAAGCAGACTCCCCGCCAAGCAGGGAGCCCGATGTGGGACTCGATCCCAGGACTCCAGGATCATGACCTGAGCCGAAGGCAGTCGCTTAACCAACTGAGCCACCCAGGCGCCCCTAAAATAATTTTTTAAAGGGTAGTGGTGATGACAAATACATGTGATTGGAGTAGAGAGGAGGGAAAGGTGCTGGGGCCCGGCAGGACCAGAAATTGTTGTCGGCCAAGGGGAAGTTAAACTTGAAGGAGCCAAGATGGAGGACAGTTTGGGGACTGGCAGAGATAGAGGAAAGCACTCCCACCTGACTCAGCTACTCTCACACTGCATCCACTCCACCTGCCAATCTTTTTTTTTGTTTTGTTTAAGATTTTATTTATTTATTTGAGAGAGAGAGAGAGAGCACGAGCAGGGGGTGGGGCAGAGAGAGAGAAGCAGACTCCCTGCTGAGCAGGGAGGCCCAATGTGGGGCTCAATCTCAGGACCCTGAGATCATGACCTGAGCCAAAGGCAGACACTTAACTGATTGAGCCACCCAGGTGTCCCTCTACCTGCCAATCTTGCAAATCCTCTTGACTTCAAACTTCCAACCATCTAAGTTTAGAATGAGAAAAAATATATATTATATTGACTTGAAGAGAGATACGTTAAATAGCTTAAAAGTATAAAAACACATACAACCCAAATTAAGGATGAGCTGGTAGAATTGTTTCTGTTCAACACATCCTTCAAAGTCAGACACATCAAAACCTGTTGTCCCGGCAAAAGCTTTAGTACCAGGCTGGGGATACAGTAAGGCCTCAGCAAATGCGGACGGACAGGGACGTGCACACTATCAATGCCCCCCTTTACTCTGGAGTGTAGACCAGAAACAGTACTAGTTGGTATATTGGAGGGAAATGCCCCATCATTCTGGGAATCTTGACTTCCTTACTGATTCTCACAGGCTAAATTCTAGGGCTCCTCTCACATTTAGTCCCGCTCTTCCCAAATATTCGTAATATTCCTCTCTCGATCGTGTCCGTGGCTCTTAGAAAAATGAATGGGTAACTTACAGTCACTCCCTACAGAAAACTCGAAGAATCCTCGTCACACGTGTCGTCAGCCAAGGGCTGGGTGAACCCTCAGGTCCTTATTGCCCAAGAGCCGGATCTGTGTGGGATTCTGGCCCCGGGCAAACAGCCTCTTCTGTTGGAATAAATGCAGCTGACTGGTTCGTTCATGGGGGCTTTAGATAAAAGCTGGGAGGTGTTCTCAGTTGGGGCAAGAGGGCTCTTTCAGTTTAATTAATTGGCGACGCGTACATGAGAGAGGCTACAAGTTCAGGGCTGACATCACTCAATTTCTGCCCTCAAATATTAAATCTAAGTCAGTGAGTCGCTGGTTGCTCAATAGCACCAAGAATCGCCTTAATGTAAGTCAAGGGCACCTCCAGCCTTTCATTTTGGTTTTATTAATTTTTTTAAGTAGTAAAGCAGAGAGCGAGTGTCTTTCCTAAGCCCTATTTGGCATCTCGTCTTTCAAGGGGCCCAGGTACCCGTTTTCCCCTTCTTACATGGAGGGGCGTTCTTGAGCTTCACTGGAAACCCCGGGCTCCCGCCTTGCAGCTCTGTTTGTTTTGGACTTTTATCAAGGAGGGGCGGGGTGGAAAGTTCTACGTGGGGGCAGAGATGTCAAGCACAGCCCCCTGGCCTTTCTCCCAGCCAAACAGCTCCGATAAGTGGGCAGGCCTTGAGCCCAGAGACCCATAGACACACTTGGATGAAATCAGTTGGCCAGTCCCTCCAAGGGCTCTGACCAGCTCCGGATGCGCCGCCCCCACCCCCTAGCGCCACAGACATGGCCAACCAGACCAACGCCTCCACCCTGTACAACAGCTACGAATACTACCTGGACTACTTGGACCTCATTCCCGTGGATGAGAGGAAGCTGAAAGCCAACAAATGTGAGTCCTGATCTGGGGAAGCCGGCCAGGCAGAGGCTGGGGGTTGGCCCAAAAGACTGTCTCCACTCACCTCCAGCTCCAACAGGTGTCAAAGATGAGTCCACAGAGATAGAAGTAAAGAGGAGTAAAATAGCATCTGTTATCTTCTGTAATAGGCTTGAAACTAACCTCCAAAGAAACTCAGACACGTTGGGAGCAGAATATGCTTTTAAGATAGATTTCCTCGATAGAGTTTGATTTGTCTGGGGTTCCAATAAGCTAGGTGAGTTTCTTCAAATTGTCGATTTCACATTCTCTCTTGCTCTATGCAGATTTGGGAGAGGTTATTATGTCCACCCCTAAGATAAATGACTTACTAATCTCTATGAAAATAACAACCGATTTTTTTTAAAGATTTTATTTATTTATTTGAGAAAGAGAGAATGAGAGACAGAGAGCACGAGAGGGAAGAGGGTCAGAGGGAGAAGCAGACTCCCCGCCGAGCAGGGAGCCTGATGTGGGACTCGATCCCGGGACTCCAGGATCATGACCTGAGCCGAAGGCAGTCGCTTAACCGACTGAGCCACCCAGGCGCCCATAACAACCGATTTTAATCTTTGTGGTCTCAGGAAGGACCTCCAGAACACACCAATATCCTTTTGCTCATCTCTCTCTCAGTCTTTCTCTCTTGGGTAAGTTGGTGCTTTGTGGACAATCTTCTCTGATTATTCCAGCAACTCAGTCAAGATAACAAGTTAGCTGAGGAAATGAGTATGAAAAATAAAACAAAACAAAACAAAACAAAAATCAAAGTCCCAGTACTGGGGACCCATCGTCTGCTAGCCCCATGTCTTGGGCTCCTTGGGTATTTCATGCCCTACAATCACAAAATCTGACAAAAGATAAGTGCAGTCACTAGAAGGAACAGGATGCTTTTTGTATGAAAAGCCAGAGAACCTGGTCAAACACCAGCTCAACACTGAAATCCATTTCCCTTGGAGGAAGTCATCTAAAATGTCTTGTTAGGAGGGGTTCCTGTTTCCAGTTTCCCTCACAACTTCCAGAAGCCCAGGTACCCATCCATGTTTTCATCCGTCTCAACAAGCCCCACTTCCACACCATACCACAAACACACCATACCTGTCCTCCCTTCTTGCTTTTGCTCGTGATTAATGCGACAATCAAACTTTTGTAACTATCTGTGATAGGCCAGGTGTTGCACTAGCAGGTAGAGGCACAAATGCCAAAAGACTCAATCCCTGTCCCTGATTTTTCTCGAGAATGATTTTATTTTATGACCATTATCGTCTATTTTCTGATGATGCTGTATTTCCCAGTAGGTTATCACAACATCCCCTCACCAAACCTGGGAAAATAGTAACAAGTAAGAACTGACACTGTATCTAAACATTTCAATAATGATGTCTCAGTGTCATCTAACACTCAGTCTACATTCGACTTTCCCCATTTCCAGTAAGGGGGCAGATACAGATCCTTAATAAGCTGTTATGTGATTCATGGTGTTATGCTGAAGATTTGCACAAGTTGCTGGCAGAGCACAGAGAGGGAAGACGTAAGGAAGGCTTCACGGGGAAGATGGGCTAAGCTGAGTCAGAAGACCCAAAGGGACTGCCTGATCCACAGAGGGCCAGCCCAGGGGCGGGGGGACCAGTTACCCTCTGCTTAGGCAGGAGGTGCTTCTGGGAAGCGTGACATGGAGGGTGTTTTTGGGAAGATTGACGTGGGGGCCAGATTCTCACAGGTCAGCCTCAGAGGATTCATGGGAGCTGCAGGGAGTCATTTAAAATTGTAAACAGAGAAGAGACAAGGTCCGATTTGCTTGCTAAGAGTATCGCTCTGGCGAATATATAAATTTGAGGTTTGGGTGGGTGGCGGGTGACACAGAGGCAGGAAACAGCCACATGCTGGTCCTGGAAACATACATTTGCAAAGATCTCTACCCTGGGGAGTTGACAACCTAGGAAGGAGGGGCCAGCAGAAATAAATGAGGGTGCTTTGGTGTTGCAGCCATGGGAATAAAAGTGGGGGGGGCAGGGCCCAGAGAAGCCAAGTGACTTTCCCCAGGTCACCAAGCGAAATATCTGCAGAACTGGGACTTCAATTCCAGGCTCTGATCCCTGAGGACTCTTTCCAGGACACTAGACATGTTTAGTGGGCAGATTCTCACTAGACAGGATGAACCACCAGAGCAGGAATCCTGCTCTGTCTTGCTCTCTCTATCCCCAGCTCCTGAATAGTGCCTGGCACAGTCTCTGCAGGATGAATAAATAAACAAAGGTGAAGTAGGTAGCTCTTGCACACACCGTTAATTTTCATGATGGATATCTGTATCAGTTATCAATTCTTTGCCTTCAAAATACGCTCTGTGATAAACGATGGTATTCCTTTAAAGTGAACAGGGAGTTAAGCTTTCTCTGGACAGGACTGTGGGGGGTTGGGGGGGTGGTCTGTAGGAGGACTGGGCTGGGGTTGGGGGTCGGCAGGCAGCCTGCGAGGGCATGTGGGGCAGTCAGCCTGTCACTGTCACTGGCCCAGAACACAGTCCCTCTGAGATCTTGTGGCCTCACGTGGCAGCCATCTCAACCTGGAACCCGAGGCCCCTGGGCATTCTGTGGCCCACAGAGGGCAGGAGTCACAGGCCCCTGACAGGGGCACCCCCTACCAGCTGTTGATCATTTGCACCCCGCCGGTACTCTGGAGGGTTGTCTATGGTTTCTCCAGCAGCTCCAGACCAGCCCAGGCCTGGCTGAACCAGCCAACAGCTCTGCTGTCCAATGGCTGAACCACATCTCCTTTGAGGTCTGAACCTCTCCCAGCTATGTCCTTCCTCGGTGTGATGGGCTGGATTCCTATATTGAAATCCTAACTCCGGTACTTAAGAACATGGCACTATTTGGAGAAGGGGGTCTTGAAAGAGGTGATTAAATTATATTGCAGTCATAAGGGTGAGTCCTAATCCAATATGACCAGTGCCCTTAGAGGAGGAGATCAGGACACAGACACACGCAGAGGAAGACCATGTGAGCACACAGACTGAGGACAGCCGTCTACACGCCAAGGAGCGAGGCCTTGGAAGAACCAACCCTGTGGACACCTTGATCTTGGACTTCCAGGCTCCAGAATTGTGAGAAAATAAATTTCTGCTCTTTAAGCCACTGTCTTTGTCTGTTCAGGCTAATATAACAAGATACCATAGACTGGGTGGCTTAGAGACAACAAGGATGTATTTCTCACAGTTCTGCAGGCTGGGAAGTCTAACATGAGGACACCAGCATGGTGGCGTCTGGGTGAGGGAACTTCTCCTGCTTGCTGGGTCCTCACGGGGGCAGGGGGGAGTGGTGAGGGCATGTCTGCTCAGCCTCTCTTCTAAAGGCACGAATCTCATTCACGGGGGGCTCCACCCTACAACTTAAGCAGCTCCCAGAGGCCCCACTGCCCAATACCATCCCACTGAGCATTAGGATCGGACAGAGGAATTTAAGGGAACACAAATGTTCTGGCCATAGGGCAGCCTGAGCAAATGAACTCGCCTGGGTCCCCTCCCTCAGCCCCGGGGCACCTTATGTCTTCACAGATGTTCTTTTATCCCCATGAATAGTTTTTCACACTAGACTTCCTGTTTGTCCTTCTGTGTGATTTCGACCTCCTGGACGGGGCCTAGGCTGCCATGATGTCCCCTCCAGTCTTTCTGCTTCTGCTTCTGCATCTGCAGAAACACCTGGCACTGCTACTTTGAAAGAGGAAGTCCATGGCCTGCAGGTGGAAAGTGGCTTTAATTTTTCTCCGGTCACTCCTGCAAACCTACTTGGTGGTGCTGGCTCTTTCCCTGCCCCTGGGTGAGATCTGGAGCAGGACTCATGCTCCCACTTACATTTTAAAAAAAGTGTCTACCAGTCAGTCTCGTTAGCAAAGTGAATGTCTAATCCTATCAGATAAATTTCAAAAATGTTTAAAAACAAACCACCCTCGGGGCGCCTGGGTGGCTCAGTCGGTTAAGCGTCTGCCTTCGGCTCAGGTCATGATCCCCGGGGTCCTGGGATCGAGCCCCACATCGGGCTCCCTGCTCCGCGGGGAGCCTGCTTCTCCCTCTGCCCCTCACGCTGCTCGTGCTCTGTCTCTCAAATAAATAAATAAAATCTTAAAACAATAAAATAAAAACCAACCACCTTCCAACTTCACTCAAAGGGAGAACTTGCTCTTTCCCTGGCTCAGGACAGGAGTGCTCCTTCCTTCGTTGCTCTGCTGGCTCCTTTCTCCGGGCCACCTGCCCCATCCTGGTCTGGGACATCTCTTCGCCGGAGCAGGAGGGATGGAATGAGGAGGGGCAGGGAGGAGAGCGGGGTTTGTCGGTGAGGCAGCTCAGACTCTGATCTGGAGGCCGGCCGGGCTCGGCAGCAGACACCTGCCCGGGGGGCCACAGAGGGTGAAGACACAGTCCGTGTGCGCCAGCAACGTCCGCTACCTGACTCCAGAACTCTGCTCCCGTTGGTCTCGCCTCCCCTCCTCACATCAGCACCGGGCAGTGGGGCTCCCCCGTGGGCTCCCTGGGACGGGGGTCTCCCGCCCCGGCGACCTGTGTGTGGGAAAGCGACTTTGCTCTGTAGCAGCCGTTACTTCTCTGCTAAACTCTTGTACTGGCCTCTTCACTGGCTGCCCTGCCCCCCAGCTTGACTGGCACTGGTCTAGGCGGGGGTGTCCTCTTCCCTGGGGGCAGCATGTCAAGCCGGCTCCTTCTCTCCTGGTGGGAGCTTTGTGAGATCCTCCACCAGAGGGGATGCTCCTCCTACTCTGCTGATGCTGATTGCCCAGTCTCTCGCTATCAAGATTTTCTCGAGCACCCATCAGACTCCAGCCTGCTGTGTCCCACCAACTGCAAAGGACACATGCAGAGTGCCCTGGAGTGGCCCCTTTGCCACTTGAGTGGAGGGCAGGGCGCCAACCACCCTCTCATACAGGGTGAGGGCATGGGGGACCATCTACCATCTCTAAAGAAAATCCCT